TTTAAGCAGCTGGCGTAAGTATCAAATTACTCAAGCAGACTGACAACCCAGATTAGTGACTCAGTAAAAGGGATAATGTTATAACTCCACAGAGAAACCAGCGGTTCTTGAAGACTAAGGTGGAGGATGTAGTTTGTACCCCCGGTATCCTGGGATGGATTGACGCTTGACTTGCTGCTGTTGAATGACATTGCGTGCTGTCTGCTGCTGATTCACGTATTCAGACCCTATCTCCCCAGTGGCAGCGGACTAATGTGGTGCTCCCAGATAACGACTGCAGCGCTAAAGCACAGCTCCTTCACTCTACTGTGACACTGCAGACCTGGATACAGGTGGTGATAGACCACATGTCATTAAGAACATTCCTGCCCTTGATGAGATTTAAGATATTCTTGAAAGAGAACTTTCTAGAGGAGGAGCTTTCCAACAGACAGGCTATGAGCCAAAGCGAGAACCTTTTCCTTAGAGCACTCTGACTCTGAAGTTTCTCAACGTCAGTGTTTTGTAATGCTTTGAAGGAAGGCATCGCGGAGCCTGACCCTGCAGCCTTGTACTGTGGGAGGCCGCTCTGCCTCTGGAGAGCCTGGCAGCAGACTCAAACCCTTGACCTTGAAATTTGAAACATTTCAAATGAGTTTGGATATGGATCCAACAGTGTAATTATATTAATTCAGATTTTTGGGTCAGACCCCCAAGCTGCTGTATACCGCTACTCTAGTGGCTCATATTAACAGCGATAACAGCCTTTTCATTTTCTTTTTAATTTATTTTCAGTTAACATTGTTTGGGAATTGTTTATTTATGCCATTGTTTCCTGAGATATGGATATTTACACAAGGAAGCTTATGTTACCAGCACATCAGATGTTTTGGTCTGTACCTGGGATTAGGAATAAATCTGCCTTCGGGTAGCTATACCGTAAATGGGTATTTTGAGTTTACTACAACATTTTTTGACACATCTTTCATTGCTGGAAAAGGATATTGGAGCTAAATGATTCGTGTGATGTGGCACAGAAGATCCTGTGTATCCTTTGCCCTTTTAAATGTAAATGTAGTGTTCACCTCAGTATAGTTTCCTCATGTGTCTAAGTAATGTCTGAGGATTTGTCATGCGACCTTTGGGTGCCTCGGACACTGCTTTGAGACAGCCTGTCTAAAAATGATCTGTTTTCAAGCTTATTGTCAGTCTGTAGTTCCGTGGCTTTGATCCCCTGTCTTTTGCAACTGGTATTTCTCCCGAGGCACCACAGCTTGACAGTGAATGTGGCTGCTTGTATTGGACTGTATTTTTAGTCTCTCTTTTTTGTTTGTTTCTTTTTCATCTTTGCTGCCTTCTTCAACCATACTTGTACCACTTCTCGCTATTTCCTTTAAATCTCTCCCTCTTTGCTTTGCTTTTTCACCTTTAGGTGATATTACCAGTGCAGACTGCTACTACCATTTAATATTAATAGTTTTTCTAGTATGTACAAGTGCGGTGCTTCAAAGCTGCTGTTTCCCGGTTGACCAACAGAGCCAGCTGGGGTATTTAAATGCAGCTCTGTTGGCACTGTGCTGAATATGCTAGTGACATAATCTGCTGGTCTGAAATTGTGTGCACAGATGTTAATTTCTTCCTTGTATTAATACATGGAATGTTGTATTGGAAGTTATTTCATACAAAAAATAAACCTTGCAATGGAAGGTACTAAAAAATATGGATTGACAATAAACATCTGGTTAGTAAACTGGCTTTTTGAAAACTTCATATACTATAGCTGATTTAAATCTAATTTACACTATGAAAAGTTTTTTCTGCACTGTGCTAGCCAAAAAGTTGGCTTCTTAGACAGGATTTTGCCAGGTAGAGTACACAGTCTCTGTGCACCTAATTGTAGGACTTGAAAGAGTATAACTAAAAATGTCTGGTGAATAGAGATTAGAATAGTGAAGTCTCAGAGCTGTGCTGATAAAAAACCTGGCACTCTAACTGTGATATTTTAAGAGCCAATCTCAAACTGTCTAAATCAAGATTAATTCATCAGACAACTGTCAGTGTGTGGGATAGGCTTCCTTTGGAGAAATTCCTTCAAGTCAATCTATGCTAATTCATATTCAGTCTCACATAGCAATACTAAATGCTTAAGAAGGATACGACCTCCCTTTGCAGCATGTCTTTCTGAGAAGAAAAGGACTAAAAGCAAAATGCATTTTTGTCCTCTGCAGGTACACCTCAACTAGAGCCTTCCTAGCCACTTTAAATGAAATGAATGACTATGCCGGACAGCATGAGGTCATTTCAGAGAACATGACCTCTCTTATCACTGGAGAGTTAACACGCTATGTGCAGGAGCTGAAACAAGAGAGGAAATCGGTAACTGATCATTTTTTATTACTCACAATTATTTGCTATTTAATACAGCTAATCAGTGTAGAGGAGTTCAATGTTAAGCAAAATTTATTTGTAGTTAATGAACACGAGCTTTGCTAATGAACCAAGTGTTAAAAAAGTGGGTTAGGTGTCCTGGCCAAGTCACTGAACCATTTCAATCAAATGTTATAAAATCAGACAGCAATGCCTTCCAGAGAATCCCTGCTAAATAAGGTCAGAGACCCATCTGTGCTTAAGGCTCTGTTCGCCAAGAGCTTGTTTAGGGAAGAGTCCAGCAGCACTGTGTAAAGCCTGAAATAAACAGAGGAACTGTAGTACTGAGGCTGACTGAAAGAATTAATAGGATCTTGGTTCACGTTTTCCTGCTTCTCGGCCAGATTTGGTCAACAGAACTTTTATCCCTGGGATGAGTGGGCATAAAATAGATTGTTACATGTATAAAATGACTAAGCAAAGCCCAGCAAGGCGAGGGAGCATCAGGGCACTGTATTTCATTTCCAAACTGTCTATCCATTATGGAAAGTGCAAAAGTACTCTTGCTTAGTCTAGCAAAACTTAAGTAGTCCCACTAAACATTAAGCATGTCGTCAAGTGCTGTACAGGGCCGGAGTCCTGGAAATTACCATTTCTTCGTAAGTATAGTATTAGGATGATAAGTCTGTCAACAGAGGAATAGATAAACCTTTAATTTGCAGAACAGAATGTAATCTTTCAGGGATGTAATATTTTGGCAGCAACATGGAAGGATATTTTGCATGTAGCTGTGATGAGAATGTGGTCTCAGCCACTTCTATGACCTTCTATTCAGCATGGACTCTGCAAAATAAGCAAAGGAAAAGAAAAATAAGCATGGTATTTTCCTGTCACTTTTACCTAATGTTTTTACCTAATTTTTCAATTCTGTGGGCATATAAGGTGATTTGATTTATTATGCATTTTAAATATGATGAAAGAGGACTTGCTATCTTTCTTGTAAAGAAAGTGAGCAGTAACTCTTTCTGTTTTGTTTGTAGAATTTTGTAGTAAGTATGGCTCATAAGTAATGGGTGAATGACAGGAAAATTATGTTAATATTGGTCGAGTGATAACAGTATGGGAACAGCAAAAAAAACACTGACAATGTATTTACCTGCTGTTGCTGATAATTCTTAACCTTTAGCAGAAAACAGTTGTCAGTTATGGTTGGTTGTTTTGTTCTTGTAACATGAGTACAAGGTATATGAATTACGAATCTTTGATTCCTGTAGATTTCTCCTTTGTGAGCAAATGGTGTTGAAAAGGAAACTGTGTCCGCCTTCAAGCATTCTTCATACGTAACCTCTCTCGCTTCATACCGTAAAACACAAACGCATTAATCATGCTGGGATCTGCAGGAGGGGAAGGTGGTGGCTATGTAAATATCCCAGAGGGCTGATACTTTGGCAAAACCTTTTGTGATACAAATTGATGAATTGCTTGGGATTTCCAGAAATTTTGCTGGCAGAGTTCTCGTGCTCACTGCTTCATATGTCATCAGCTGTTGTGCTACGAATTTGTATAATCATCTAGGTTGGAAAAGACCCTTAAGGTCATCGAGTCCAACCGTTAACCTAAGGCTACCAAGTCCACCAAGCTGCTAGAAGCTGTAAGAAAAGATGATCACTTCTGGACCTAGGGCCACTCGTAGGAGTTGGGAGACTCCCAGTCTGGTACAGAGTCTTCTGTAATTTGAATTAAGTCCTGTAAAATGGTACGAATTTCTAGTGGTTTCAGTATGACTGAGGTAGATAAGCACGCTTGCTTTTTTTTTTCTTGTAATTTCCCACCTGGAAGATGGAAATGATAGATGTGTGAAAGATGAACTCCAGCACAGCAGAAAGTGGTCAGTCAAAAAATAAACTGGAATGTTGTTTCCAAAGGAAACCCCTTTGATAGGCAATAGGAATTGTGCATTCAGTGGAGTCACGGGGGATGAGGCTGGTGATCTTTAAACATGTGGGATCTGATGCATGCTTGCATTACTCTGTTTTCATGCTCATTTAGCTCTATTGATTAAAGTGGAATTGCACCAGCAGATGATTAGGTCACACAATAAGAAATCACACTTCTTTGTTTTTCCTTGACAAGTACAAGCCTGTAGCCTGTAATCAGTGCAGACCTCATGGTATATAAAGCCTTGGTTTTAAGCTGGATAAAATTCATTTGGCTTGCAATTTTTACATGTGTTGGATTCATTTGACTACTGTGAAAGGTGTACATGATGCCTATGTCATGTTTCTCCATATAAGACAGTCGCTAATGGTGAAAATAGGGGAGGAAGCAGCTAATCAAAACCAGGCAGGCACAGTCTGGAGACTGGACAAGTGGGATGATTTGCAAATTCGCAGTGGTTTACTGCTGTTCAAAAGAGACGATACCTTGTCTTTCCTCTGGCCTGGTTTGGAGCTCGGGAGAATCTGGGTTATCTTTATGTTTTTACAGATGATGTGCTTTGTTGCATGATGTTTTGATCATCAGAAAGTGGTTAGAAAAATCAGGCAAAGATTGTTTTTGTGAAATGGGAGCATCTTTAGCAGCAAAGGTCAATCAGTTTGTTAAACTTTATCGTATTACACATTCCTGTTCCACAGGATGCCCCCTGTTGATGTTATTGCTGTACCAGCTGAGTTGTTTTCCCCTCCCAGTCACTGAAGTTAGGCGCACGCCCTGCCTGCTTTTCACACACAGCCAGTGTGCATGTGAGAGGCAGAACTCTTGGGCTGTTTCAGTTCTTCCCAGCTGTCTAGTGAAGTGAAACTCTTTATAGTACAGTTCCTCACTTCAACTTCTTCTTGTATTCTCTTGATCTTAGTGTGTCCATGCCCTCATGTGAGTAATTCTCATCCTTGGATCTTGCCAGCTGCTTCAAAGCTGAAATTTCAGTTCTATGCTACATGTGAAGGTCATTCCTCGTCCACCTTCCTTCCTGAGGTTATTGAGGCCAGATGCAGGCGACTGAATTCCCCTTCACTGTAGGAAGACCTCCATCACCAAGCCACACAAATGAGTTGCGGACCATCTCTGAGTGGTTCAGGGAAAGAACTTGCTTCTGCAGTCATTCTTTGTGCTGCCCCAATTTCACCAAAGCCTTACTTTGGTGCAGTTGTGGAAGGTGTCAAGTTGGAGCTGGGGGTCCTGCAGTTATACAAAACTGGGTCTTAATCTTGTTTGTCTGGGACAAAAGAAAAGGAGATGATCCCAGTAATGTCAAGAGGGGTGTTTAGACTTCACTTCACAAGCGCTAACAGGTAATACGTTTCCAGGTTGGAAACGTACTCAAGTTCTTCTACCGCCACCCATTGCGACTGTTGCTGGTTGTGATAGCAGCTCCTAAGCAGACCAGTTATTCTCCATGTGAGAGAGAGATCACCAGCATTTGATTGCTTCAGTGAGGGAATCTGCTTCTCCACATTGCTGTGCCTGCAAAGTTACTCAGCATGCTTTGTTCTAATAAAAAAAGTAATAATCTAGACACTGAGGGATTTCTTGCTACCCTCTTTTTGGGTGGCATCTTAGAAGACTTCGGAGAAAACTTGTAGCCAGTGCAGCCCAAGCACTGACAATTTCCTTTTTTTATTAAAGCTTCACAGGAGATAGCTTGGTTTAGGTATTCTCTCAACTATGGATGAGAAAAACCCTCAATACTGTAGTTTGTCTGGATAGAAGTTCAAGAATTAATTCCTGGGACAATTCTGATTTAGATCTGTGGTCACAAACTACGTCTGACTCACGTTCTCCTCTGGCAGCAGCTGCTCTGTGTAGCCATTGCTCATGTCAGCTTTGCTAAAAATGTGTTTGGGAGTCATGAACTATCTCTCTTATTACTGCTGCGGCTTTCACCTCTACCTCCACCTCCCCTTGGGGGTAGGCTGGCTCCATACAATCAAGCATGAAAATCGAGCAAAAGCCAAGACTTTGCTGCAGACTGAGCTGGTGCAGCACTGGGATTCTGTGGTTGAGAGAGAATTTACCTGATGTCAATACGTTCCATTTTGTGTCGGGGTAGAAGGGGAACGGGAATGAATGCATCCTTATGGGTACTGTGAGGGCAAAAGTGGTCTGGTTCTTCATGGTGGAGCATGTGCGTCCTCCCTGTGTGTATTCATATGGCGGGTGTACATGTCTGAGAACTTTCTGTTTCTTGTAGACACTCAGGTGTTGATGAAAAGTAAATAATTGGAGGAATTCTGCCATGTTCGTTCATTCTGAATAGTGCCCTGTTCTGCAAATAGTCCTGTGGTTTGCAACAGGATTTCTCGCGGCGTAATGCACTGTGCAGGCGTGAGACGGCATGGCAGAATGCGACCCTGTCAAGTGTACAATGGATTTTTCCGTGTTGCGTTTTGGATGTGCCTCAAGGTTTCCGCATGTTTGGAGCTTTGTGCTGCAGAGGTACAAAGAGACGTTGCTGCCTTCCAGAAATGACAAACTAATGGCAAAGCACGTAGTAGGAAGAGGAAAAGAGAGACAGTGAAAAGAAATGAGTCACCAGACTTCAGGTTGACAAGATTCAAACTGAGCTTTGCCGGGCTCTTGTTCTGTGACAAATCCACTTCCAGCTTACTGCCCCATGAATGATTTTAGAAGTATTTAGTTTTAATCTAAGTATAAGGGTATAAAAATTAAACATTAATAAATAGTTACGTTGCCAGGTAGAAGCTTTGCAGGAGCTATTTATATACAGAAAGAAAACTCTGGGGCAGTTGTGCTCGATAAATATACTGCACAATGATCCAACTCTACATATTCATCCTCTTACAAGATATTTCAGCTGTATTTCTTTAAGTTAAATTGTACCAGTAAAGTGTTAAGTAGTAGCTATAAGAAATGAAAGAATGCAGAAAAATTGTTTAGGAAAGATCATAATAAATTCTGTATATTCTTATTGAGTGTTTGCTGTTTTCCCACAAACTATGGCACAAATTTAATGAAACTGTGTTAGATATTTGTACATATAATCTAAT